AAGTTTGAAACTTAAATTAGGTAGTTTTAAATTATTCTGATAAATTTAAATATAAATATTAAGCTAAACTTGTAAATTAAGTAAGCTTCTATATAAACTTATTTATTGTATTGTTTGTAAAAAGGGGTTTGTATTACCCTTTTGATTCCATCCCGTGGATTAATAAACAGTAAACACACGTATTTGCGTTTCCAAAACATTTACAAATATAGTTATATGTATATACGGAAGAATGATAGAAACTATAAGAATACATTCTTAACAATAAATTACTATGGAAAATACATTTATAAAGTAAAAAGTCTCTGTAGGAAAAATATTTAAATAATATATAAGTTCTAATTTCTAATTGTTTTATTTTATCCTGTAAAATAAATTTTTAACTAAATTTTATTATGATCACTAAAAAATGATTTAATCGGTATAAAAAATATATATATGTAAAGAAAAAAACCGAGTGTTTTAACTTTTAGTACGTATGTGTAAAATTTTGAAATATATGTATATACTTACCTGAGTGAAATCGTATCAATTTTACTAAGATTCAACATTGTATGAATTAATACAATTAATTATTAATTGTAGACAATTTGAAAATGTATATTTTAAATCAAGTTTAGTTTTATGGAATGAAAGATGATTGCTTGTGACACATTTACTTGTAAGTTTCAAAGTTTGTAGAATGAAAGTTTATTATTTCCACGGTTATGTTATTGTTAGTATTTTCCGTATGAATCTATAAAATTGAATAACTATAATAATTACAGGCAAAATTTACAAATAATTATATTCATACGAAAATGTTGCAATTTTGGAGATGACCTATTTCATAATTATTTATTGAATCTAATAAATTATTCATTAAGGGGATTAAACCTGGTGATTTTCTGTCTTTGTCCAACACACGCGTGGCATAGGATTTTAGACGTGTTCTTTGCCAAACATAAAATTGATCTAATGAAGCGATATGAATTCTACAAACAGATTTGAATTTGTCGTCAAGGTAACTTATTGAAATCGGCTTTCCCCAATTTTCAAATTTTTGATTTCAACTTCTCTAAAAATTTAAATATGACAGTTTTTAATTACTCTTTTTTAATATAACGGTATAATAATATAAACATTTGGGGAATAATATCAAAAATATGGGAAAGTCGATTTTAAAAGATTTGTTTTCAGAACTCGTATAGCTTCATTAGATCAATTGGTATGTTTGGCAAAGAACACGTCTAAAATCCTATGTCAAGAGTGTGTTAGACAAAGACAGAAAATCACCAGGTGGAATCCCCTTAAATTGAAACATTTTATGAATAATCATCAATATTTATAAGGCTTTCAGCTTTGATAACCAGATAACGATTTATTAAAGTATATATAGTATAATGAAATAAAATAAAGTTTTAATTGTCTCTTCTTGTTATAGGATATAGTTAGTTAAGTTGGATAATTTAATAACTAGTTAATATAATAATATCTGCTGCATGTTCCTCGATATTATTTATGTTAAAACGGTTTTAAATTTTGAACCGAACTTCGATGTTGAAACTTCAACCGATCGTTTTTAGATATTATAAACTTTAGTCTCTATTGGATTAATTAATTAATGCAGAGGTATTTAGTTCCTCGTCAAGTGAGTACTCAAATGTTTAGGAAATCTTTATAATACTTACTCTTTTTGTAAGGAACACCGTGTTAATTATTTAATAATATCTAATATGTGTGTCGTGTGTGTGTGTGTGTGTGTGTGTGGGAATATTATGTAATATAGTAAGTCTATATATTGTATATACATTCTACGTATCATATTAAACTTACAAATTATTATTATGTTCTTTAAAAACCTTTACTAAAATAAAATACACTTCAGTCAGTACGGTCGCTGTATACTCATTGGTGCTTCGCGCGCGGTGCAGAGAATGGAGACGTGCGTGACGTCATACACTTGAGTGCCTTGATTGATTTAGTGCATCCGGCCAGTTTCTTTTCGTGTACACGTTTTCATGCCAGGTGGGTCTAAAATATTGTATTATTTTTCATTATTACCACCCCCCGACCATCCTATGACCTGTCGTATATATATTATACATAATATATATGTGTATAACTTGTATATACCTACATCAGAATTATTATTCTCGGGGTCGCACAATTTGCGGGACTGATCGAAACAATACAAATTTTTTTTAAGCTTCACTCGCGAAACGTATTGTATTTCTCGTCGGTCGGCAAGAAGAGATTATAATTACTGCTCAGAGATTCGCGTGTGCTATATATAATACGCGTATATCTAATATCGTCTTTATCTCATAAAAAAACCGAAAGCCCCCATATTTGGACGATCAGTTAGAGTATATTATAATACAATATAATAATTTTTAATTTTATGACAGTATTTATTTATAGGAGGTATATCATGTCTATGTACGTTATTTGTTGTATATTTGAGGCATGAACGATAACTACGACCTACGCCATATAATATTTATATATACCATTATACCTATATGCGTATGTAATGTGTACCTATATTATACGCACTCTAGTGCCACCGGCGGCGGCGAGTGGGGTTAAACTGTCAGTAGACGGCAAATATAATAAGTCGGTGTCGTCGATGCTGCGGCGGGTATATGTGCGTGGTCCCAGAGAGAGGCGAACGAGCTGCAGAGAGAGAGAGAGAGGGAGAGGGAGGGAGAGAGAGCGTGCGTGTGAGTGAGAGAGCAAACACACTAATGTAATATTTCACCTGAAATACTTCCAAATACACTCTGTATATGCTCGCGACACATACGCGTGTTACATGTACACATGTATATGGTACACACACACACACACACACATGCCGCTGTCAAACGCAGCTATAGAGCTCATATAGCGTGCGACACCAATGTGTGTGTGTGTGTGTGTGTGTGCTCGCGCTAGTGTTTATTATATAAAAATAATAAATGGTTTTGTTTTGTACGTGTCGATTTTTACGAGAGCTCGCGTTGACGACGGTCGGCTAGAGAGGTAAAAACCGGAGACCCGACTTGCGAGAGATATATGCGCGCGGAGAGGGGTCGTCGGCGGTTATGCAGGAGGAGTGCGGCGTGTATATAGTCGTATATGTGTATTGGGATACGGCCCGAGTTCACGGTCCCCCGAGATAGCCTCACCTGATTCTCTTATATTATTATATTATTTATTATGTGCGTTCTTCTCTTCTTCTCTTTGTTCACTATTATAATAATATATAATATTATGTACAACTATAATACAACACCTATCTCGCATTCTCGCTGCAGCCCGTCGTCGAGCGCGGTCGGTATTTCTAATTTCTATTAACAGTATAATAATAGTAATAATAATAATAATAAACGTAATAATATTTAATTCGTGTTTGCACGTGGACACCGAATCGTATCTTATCGTTGCTCGGGTCGTATAGCGGGTTTATCTCCGCGCGTACTAATAAATAATATGAAGTTCATCCGTGTTAATTGACGTGGTGTATATGTATATATTATGGTTGACAATTTGTATTTCAATAATTATTAATCACCCAATCGCGTACCTTATTATAATGCAGATGTATTACACGCACACACACACATACCTCGTCTTCAGGTCACCGATAACCTCGGCCGAGGCACGACGATGACTACTATGATAGTCGCATCAGTGAATCACAATAATTACGCGTATATATCTCAATGTGTAATATTATTATATACAAGTATCAAGTTATATTATGTGGTCGTAAACGTCTCTTAAATCACTGCGATTTGATAAAGTGATATCTTGGGACTTGGGCAACTATACGATGAGATCTATATAATATTAATAGAAACAACTCGAGTCCAAACGAATTATTATTATGAATATAAAGACGAGCCTAATCGGTTTTGAAAAACTAATAATAATTGGTCATCTATTTTATCATCATGTCTTACCGCACACATACCCTACCTGTGGCCATTGAAATATATGTCTTCGGAGATGTATGTCCGTACAGCTTATATTAAATTGATTATTACTATAATAATTACTATTACTGATTAGCTGTTGATTAACTAACGTTTCGAATTTGTCGATATAAAAGAAGCGTGATATTGTATACAAGATTTCAACACGAATACTATTATATACATTAACTAAATAGTAAATGTTTGAGAAAATTTAATTTGTGAATAATTAATTTGTTTCATTTTAAAATAATTATTTTTTGTTTATTCGTTATAGTTATGTTAAAATGTTTTTAAAAATTTGAATAGGTACTTACATGTTTTTTTATAGTTTATAATGTAATATCTAAATGCATTTTATTACGAAATATTTAATTAAAATATTAGCAGTCTATAAAAAATTTTTACTCGAAGATGATATTTTGGTAACTGTAAAAATTAAACTTTAAGCCCACCATAAGCTTAACTATACCAATTATTAAGAACTAAACATACTTTGTCATAAGCTGTATTTTGTTAATAATTGTATCATTTGGAAATTGTTTAAACAAATTAAAACATATTTTAAGGTGCAAGATGATTTGACAAGAGTTATCTTTTTCTTTCTCTTTTAAGTAGGTATTGGTTTTGTTTCTCACTGCCAAATATATTTTAAATATTATGATATAATTTTAAGAATTTTGAATTAGATATAGTGAGTTTGAGTGTATTATTATCGTTATGCTTTATATTCTGAAATGTGTAGTTACGATAATTTATGTTTATGTGTATGTCAAAAAATACAGAACTATATGATAATTATTATTTCTTCTAATTAAAATCTCGAAATAATAGTCGACAGGCGTATTATAGCCGTGTGTACAACGTCTAGCCCGTGTTTTATTGGATATATCGTTTCCGGGCTGAGAATTTCCCATTTTGTGCGTGTAACATACACGGTTTTGGGCGCGGGCCAATGACACCTTTAAATCACTGGGTTTTATTTTTATATTTTATTCCGCCGTTAAATTAGACCAAAATCGATTCTACGGCGTCCGTGGTCCTTATTAACTCTCGGGGATGAGACGAGGTGGAGGCGGAGAGAATAGCGTGTGGCTTGCGTACGAGCATATATATGCATTTTGCTTATTTAAAAATAGCGGACATTCCAGGCGGTCCGTGTCGAATTTGGCTTGGAACAATACGATTTCCGAATGTCTTGTATACTTCCCCTTGTTCTTCGCTCTCCTGGCCCCAAACACCCTATCCAAATCTAGATCCTCCGGCGAAAATGACAATGACGGTTCCGGATGACTCTTATATTGTGGCGCTGCTGCTATACCGCTCGGTACTTTTTCTATATATATATTATATTATACATGTATAGAGGATTTCGCGATAATACCACGATAATTTGAGATTTTTTTCCGACCATGCATGTGTTTCGAGCCAAGAGAACACCGTAAAAATTAAAGAAGAGTTGGCGTTGAAAAATTGTTAAATTCTAAAGTGCGTTAAAATTTCATCTTAAATGCATGAAAAAAAAATAATATCTTATACCGTGATTATTTTCAAACTGGGTGTTAATATCTTATATATTCGAAATTAAGTCATTTTTCTACAATAACTGTACAATAACTTTACAATTATTGGTTTAATTTATTTATATACTGCAGTTATAGGTATAGGTATCTATGTATAGATCTATAAGACATTATGAAACAATAACCTATCCACAGTAGAGTAGCATGTAGGTATTGTGGTGTCATACGAAATACGGAGTCATATAATATAAAATGATGAAATTGTGATAGGCAGTTTTTGTCTTCGCACATAGTCTAAATGAGATAAATTGACTTGTTTTTAATATTATTGCAGTAATTAAGAATAACAATAATTGATGCGACATATACGTAGTTTAATCAAACGTAATATTATAAAATAATATATAGTACGTCGTTTGAAAACCTATAGGTGTAATCCAATTGATAATTGGATAACGTTCAGTGTTAATATGTTTAATGTTATATTTAACAAAGAATCAGTACCTATTTAAAAAAAAGCGAGGGAAATAAGACTACAGTTATTTTAATTTGATTTCCTTATTGAAGGCGAGTTACATTATAATAAATTGAACGTAATTAATACCTAGTCATATAAGATATAATTTAGTTATACACATACAAATGTTATTATACAATTTTTCTTGTTACCAAACAATAATATATTTTTAATTGTGAAATCTTTACGATTATGTTACACGTCTTAAAATGGATTACATCCTATACAGTTAGTATTTTTATACATTTTTGGATTTACATTTTTATTTACATTTTCATAAGTTTTATACAAATGAATTCTTTGCGTTATCAAACGAATCTCATTTAGCCTAAATGTGTTACACACATGACACATCACATGTGACATTATGACGGGTGAGGCCCTAGTGATTTTTTCAAATTATAATCGTAAAACAAATTCATATAGATACAAGAAATAAAGCGATTAATACATTATTGAAGGTGCTCAAATTTCCGTACCTATAGGTATAACGATAACATTACTATCGGTTTCATGTCTCTGCTGATTAAAGTTAGTTAACATAATTATCGATTGCGAACAAATAATAGTTATAATAACAAATTAATAATTATCAAACAAAAGTTGTGATGAAACACTCGGTTGAGGTAGTTATATGTTACACGTGACAAATATAAAACGAACAAACAAAACAAACAAAAATACAAATTATTATACATGACGATATGAGTAACAATATGTACGGATTAAAATGATTACCAACACGGTTTTATATTTATATTTTAATGAGAATACAAGAGAAAAATATGAACTATATTATGTTCATGCAAAGACTGGAACCTATTTACATGCGCTGCTGCAGTACCTGATACCTGCAGGTTAATAGGTAATTCTCAATTAAAATTAACTGTTTAAAGGTTATACATATATAGACATATAGTTTATTAAAGCTGAAATAATATATAGTATATAATAAATAATATATAATATAGGTATAGGCGTTGTAGGTGTTGATAAGATATTATATTTTTACTATTTGTTTATATTTGAATGAATATAGGCAATATGCATGTATATTGTATACTATCAAAGATTTTCATAAATATATATTAATATATAAATGATTAACCAATAGGTATCTCATAGTTTTGGTGAAATCGTTGAAATATCTGTATAAAATTATACCTATTCGTTGGTGCGAAAGGTAGGTACAGACTAGGTACAGAGTAGTTCAACAATGTCCATATTCAAAAAATATATAAATTTGAGGTAAAAATAGTTGGCGTTTATAAAGTTAACGAAAACGACAAGCTGCAGTATTCTTATCACAAAAGAAAAACATTAAATAAAGCTTGATAATAAACCACTTGAATAAGAATAACGGTGGATTGTAAACAAGAACACGTACCTATTAATTAGAACTTTGAAGCAATAAAATAAAAAAAATTGCCTAGTCTGTTAAAAAAACATATAGCTGTTATTAGTTACTACTATAAGGGTAATATATTATATTATTCAGTATACATTTTTATTGAACAATCAAGTACCAAGTTCGTTATCGGAATTCAGTTTTGATTTTCGACCACACGTTGTATTTATTATTTGTATTTAAATGTACAATCATCGAAATGTTAAATATGTTTTAGACTTGAAGAGTTGTCAAATAAAACAAGAAATATGTACTTATATAATTTATCGTTGAGTAAAATTAGTAAAAATCAAAGCAAGTCATTTCCAAAAGGACTTGACAATTTCTTTTTTCGCCGTTCAAACCTATTTTGTTTCAAAAAGTCGATTATGCGCAGGCAAGCACTTTTTAACTTATATTATGTATATAATATTTTGCAATCCCGGTAATGCTCATAGGTTTCCCAATTTCGGACCTAGACGTTACACCTAGACCTAACATTGTATAGTTACATCTACCTACAACCTACCTATACCGGCTATACCTATACCTTACCGTAGCCAATTGCGGTTAGTCGTTGTCTTGCCTGGCGTACAGTGCACATTGGTTAAAGCGCGTACGTCATATTATTATATCTATACGAGCGGAAGGCAAACTTGATTATCAACGACACGAATAACCAGCCGACCACCGGCACCGACGCTACCACGCCAGCCAGTGGTGGGTAGTAGTCTTTATCGTATCTTAATGGAAATACGGAAAGTTTCTGCAATAATTTGCGAAAGTTGTTTTTAACATTATTATTTTACGTCAAAACTTTCGGGCCAAACTTTCCGGCTGCGCCGAGAAGAGTCCGCCGCTACCGGCTTTTATAATCCAATGTAATAATTTAACGAAACGGCGCGTAAAATATTTAACAACACGTTTCGACATTGTATAAGATGGATGGACGCCGCCGTCCACCGCAGTCGAAAACCAGAAGCGAAAGAAAACCGCTTACACACAGCACGGGGAATTGGTCAGATCCGATGACACGGTTTTCGTGGTGGCAGCAGGTGACGCGTGTTTGTGTTCTTTGTGTAGCGCTCACCTACCTATAATATAATGTGTATATAACACCTAAGAGTTTTTCGACCATCGCAATCCGGAGAAAACGTTTGAAAAAAAAAAAATACTAATAATAACAACGATTATAATAATATAATATATTATGTGACTTATCTACATTATTCGTGAGCACAAAATTATTACTCTGTTTCGATTCAACGAGAGTTCGTGATTAGTTGGCGATTCTGGTCGCTCCATTATGCCATTGTCCGTCCGACCAGGTGTTGTTATTTATAAATTGTTATTATTTTAATAAGTGCAACTGCATACATTTTTTAAATCATATTATAGTGATCACAAGGAAAACAAAATGAGCACATTTATTATGAAACTCCGTTATTATACACATCCATACACTATATATAGGACATAGGTATACCTACGCCGTACGAGAGCAGAACAAAGCTTAAAATATGTTATCAGCTGGTTGACCTATTTCTTGATTTTAACATTTATATTAAACAAAAATCCGTCAATATATAGGTAAATCTTTGACATTTTTGAGCTTAGTTGATTTTTCAATTTTTTTTTTCAATTGTACATAATATAGATGTTTGCGTATACCTACTGTATAATACTGTAGAAAATGAATAAAACATTGCATTGATAGTGGATTTATTTTGCAAATCAACATACATCGATATAGGTAAATATACCTATATGAATAGAATAAATTATGATTCATGATGCTTTATTTATTAATAATTATTATCTATATAGGTGGTATAATAGGTACACATTAATTTGCATGTTTAATTTAATTTATATTTTGTTTTATTTTTCGTTCGGGTATAGGTACGCTGTTAATTTGGTCAAGGTATAAATATTATACGATTAAACAATAATAGTGTTAATGTTCAATAATACCTATATAATCGGAAATAAAGGTTGAAAATATTGTAATTGTGTTGAAGTAATATTATAATTTCTAATGGTTACGGTAGATACCTAAGCATTATTGTTAAAGTGTGTAAGTGTAGAGGTAAAATCAATACAACGTGTCTTCTATGAGGTTAAAAAGTCAGTTTAGGTATTTATAAACATTTGAACGTATGACTATTATGCATGTTTTGTTTACGATTTAATATTTTTACGTTATTTATTATTTAGATACAAACCTACATTTTGAATCTAATTTTATTCCTACTGTAGTATAATAGTTGTAAAGTTAATTGAATTTTAAAGAATTGTCTTTTTGTATATCTATATTGCTTCATATTTATCTCTTTAATGTTTATGATCCTATCATATTTTTTATAATTATACTGTTGTTGTTGTCAACCGTGCGAGATACAATATATATCATAATTGTTAAATAGTAATTTAAAAAAAATGCACATTTTAAGCAACAAAAAATTTGTTTCCGCGCGAAGCGTTTAAACGAATTAGTTTTAGGAGTCATATGGTTTTTTGCGCAGTGTTTACTTTACACATTTTTTTTCCGGCAGTAGGAATTAGGAGTTTTCCAAAAGTTTTCAATGGCCTTGATAACAAAATCGGAAATTGATACCAGACGTAGTTTAAAGAGGATGTTTTTGAAATTGTATCCTCTTTCACTATAGGTATTTGGCATCAATATATATATACATATATATTGGTAGCTAGATACCAAAGAGTTTGAATAAATAAAAAGTATGCTCGTCTCAATTTTGTCAATAACTGATTATATTATATTTGATTTAGGGTTAAAAAAACCTACTCCTAAACTGGCTAAACTATTCCGTGTACCTAATATTGAACATTTCTAAAATATTATCTT